AAAAAAAAAAAAATCTCAAAAAAAAGTGTTTCAGGAGAAAGAAATAAAATACTAAAACTGTTCTTATCGAAATTAAAAAAAAAACAAAAACATGTATGTGATGACTGCAGTAAGCTATATAGCCCCAGCTAGGTACTACTTTGTAGTATGTTCATTCTACTCAGAGGTTTATGCCTGAAGTCAGACTTGGGTTCATGTATATGTATATATCAGCTGCGCTTGCTATTGCAAATATTTAGACTAATTAAGTTCATTAGCAAATCAATTAAATGGGAGGGGAAAGGCATAGAAAGCAACCATGGATACCAGAGACAATGTGGGAGGAGGGTGGTACATGGCAGAGGGAGAGGGATAGGAAATCAAAGATGGCAAAAAAAAAAAAAAAAAGCAAAATATATTAATACATAAGAAATGGAAAATTATTTATTGATAACATGTATGTTAATGTGCTTGATTGAGCCAATATACAGTGTATTCTGTATGGAAAATTCATTTTGTATGCTGTAATGATGTATAGTGAATTAATGTAAAAAAATAAATTTAAAGAAAAAGAAAACAATAAATAAATAAAAGTTAAATTAAATTAAATTAAATTAAAATTAAAATTAAAATCTTGCCGGGAACATGAGCATGTGTGCATGCCCAAAATCCTGAAAGGAAAGTAGAGGAGAACGGATTATAGCATGGCCATCCCCAGTAGGGAGTGATTTTTCAGTTTGGCCCTCTTTTTGTCTCTGTCCAGTGCACACATACACCATTATGGCAAAATCCAATAAAAAATAAAAAGCACACACGTGGCACAGCAGTAATGTGCTGTTCAGGAGAAGTCTATCCCACATAGTGACTGAGGTTCAAATCTCTAGTCCAGTCAGCCTGAAACACAGCAGGCATGCACATGAGGGCCCCAAATCGAACAGTCTGGAGGACTGGAGGAATTTTGGCATGACCAGATCCTTTGGAGGGTGCTCATCTAGCTCTGTCTCACTCTTTCACATGCACACACATGCACTCTATCATAAGTAAAGGGGGAAAAAGTTCACACCCAGTGAACAGCAGACCACCAAAGATAGAGAGAACCACATCCTGCCAAAAAGAGGGCACATTCTCTATGGAAGAGTTACACAGAGTAGTCAACTTCTCAATGGCAATAACAGAAGTCAGCTAACAAAGGGATGGCAATTACCATTACTGAAAGAAAATTGCTATCAATGTAGAATTCTGTATTAATTAAGGGTATTAATCTGTTCAGGCTGCTGCATCAAAGCAGCACCACAGACTGGGTGGCTTATAAACAACATACATTAATTTCTCATAAACCTGGAGGCTACAAGTCAGTATTAGGAGGTCAAGCATGGTCTGGTCCTGGTGAGGGCCCTCTTCCACTGTATCCTATGACAGAAGGTAGGTAAGAGAGCGCACTAGGATCTCTTTTGTAAGAATCCTAATCCCATTCATGAGGGCTACACCCGCATGACCTAATTACCTCTCCAAGGCCTCACCTCCTAATACCACCACACAGGGGATTAGGTTTCAACATAGAAATAGGTAAGAGACAAACATCCAGTATATAACTAGCAGTGAAAATACCTTTAAAGAATAAAGGCATTCTTTATATTAAATTGTACACCTAAAAATGGCTAAAATTGGCTTAATATTAGATACGAAAAAATGTAATATACTCACACTAACACATTAAAGGATGAAATCTACGAATTCCTCAATCAATACAGGAAAGGCTTTTGATTAATATTCTTCAAATACAGTTAAAACAAGCAGGCAAATAAAAACGCTTTGGAAACTTAGGAATAGGAAGAAAAAAAATTTTTTAAATCATAAAAAATGTATCTACAAATACCCTAATGCTAAAAGCTTTTCCTCTGAGATAAACAACATGATCCTTGATGCTGCTAGTCCTGACTCCTTTAGGCATTATACGGGAGATCTGCGGTGACAAGAGACAAAAGAAAGGAGAGAGGAGGGAAGCAAAGATGGGGAAGATGAGGAGAAGGGAGGGAAGGAACAAACAGTGCCTAGATTGAAGAGTAGTGTACCTTCAACTTTCAAATAAATTACCCCAGGATTAAATAGCTTAAAACAACAAACATTTATGGCATCACAGCTTCTATAGATCAGAAATCCAGGCATAGGCTGAGTCTTCAAGCTCCGAGTTTCTCAAAAGGCTGCAATTAAGGTGTCAGGGTTAGAGTCACCTCAAGGCTCCACTAAGAAGGATCAACTTCCAAGATCATTCATTTGGATGCTGTCAGGCCTCGTGTCCAGCTCACACATGACAGCTGGCAAAGAGCCCATCATTTTCATCCTATTCTATACATTAGAAGTCATCATTTGAGGCTAGCTCCACAGCACAATGGTTAAGGGAGCTGGATCCCTCATGGTCAACTGTGGTTCAAATTCCAGTGCCGGTCGCTTGGAAAACATGCCAGGTAGGGGTGTAGGGGTGTGTGTGTGTGGGGGGGGGGGCTCAAAATCCCAAAGGAATAGAAATATGGAAGTTAAGGGATTGTAGCATGATCACATCCCACTGGTGAGTACTTTCTCTCTTTCTGATGAGTAACCTTGCCTTCTGGCACACATACAAAAAAAAAAGTGTCTTTTTTTTTTTTTAAAGTATGTTATTTTGTACAACCTACCCTCAAATAGATAATACAGGACATTAAATACCAGGAGGCAGGCATCCTTAGGGGACATTTTACATGCTACCACACAAAAACATTTCTTGCTGTTTATCACGGTTTGCTGATATGTAACAAATACAGAAAATCCAAGAGAGTCACATCAATATTTAGAATAAGAAATCTTAGCAAGGTTATTGGGTATAAAGTTGTTATACAAAAATCAGTTTTATATATAAGCAATGAACAGAAAAAAGGAAATTTTAAAACACCACCACACATCCATTCAATATGGATCGAAAAGGGTAGTGTACCTACAACTTCCTAAGAAATTACCCCAAAATGAAATAGCTTAAAACAACAAGCATTTATAGTATCACAGCTTCTATAGATCAGAAACCCATGCACAGGCTGAGTGCTCAAACATCAAGTCATATATCATATGAATAGTAACTGCAGAAGTAAAGGGATGGAGACACATATTTTACAAAAAAAAACCTTGTTTTAATACAGGAGAAAAAATAACATTTTGATCAATTTTTGCTTTCTTCAAATTTCTGCCAACTTGTCATATATTAACAATCCAGCCATTTTACTTTAGAACAAAAGTTTACCAAATAGAAATACATCTTTACACACTGCATTTTCTTTACTGTCTTCCTTCTACCTTGTTCACCTTTTTATAAGTTCATTTTTGGAAAAAACCTTAAATAACCTCCGATTTTGACTAAAATCCATGTATTAGCTAGAATTTCAACTCTTAATAACTTTCTCTTTCCTTGCATCCCTTTCCCCCCTTTTGCTAAAGTCCTTACTGCAGATGCAAACAAAAAAGGGGGGGGCTGCTTGGTTCAATCCTGTCACTCTTTAGCTTCTCTATCACTGCACATCTCATTGGCAATGTCTACTGAGTTTTGAAGCAGTCATTCCTATTGCTCCATCCACTTTCTGCAGTTTCTTTCTGATGTCTGTAACACTCTAATAAAAATCATATTAACCATTCTGTTCTGGAGCTTGGGAGCCAATGTCTGTAAACTTCCTGTAAGTTTGGTAAATTCTTTCCAGAAATTTAAATGGGTCTTCTGAGGGCTTCTGCTATAATTCCTATAAACTATTATTTGAGTTTCTTAGGTTTGGGGGCCCCTGATTTTGTTTCTCCTAAGATATATCTCATATAACGTTCTCTCCTAGTCATTCCTTGGCCACTGGCACCCTCAGTCACTAATCTGGGTCTGGTGTATCATCTGTATGTCCTGCTGCTGCTTTTGCCTTAACTAGCACTAGTTGCCCTTCGTTAGCTGTCAATGAAGTATTGCTAAGAGCCTGAATATCCAGCCCCATAAAGCGCTGGGTAGCAAAAATGGTGGTAAACAGCTCTACCATCCTCAATGGAAGGATGATTTCTTCGACGGAATAAACTTACGTAGAGTAAGGGCTACAGTCCAATAGTATCCTGCGAGACTCCCTGTTGATTCGTCCCCACCAGGTATGGAGGAAGGGGTATTGGCCTGCTCTGAGTTCGGCTCTTCCCCCACGGGGGCGAGGGTTCCGCCTTCCCTGGGCTTCCGTCTGCACGGGACCCACGAGTGCAAGGAGTCGATTAGGCCCTGAGCGTCCCGCTCGGTGTAACCATCAGGGTAAACCTTAGACCATTCCTTGCCCATTTGTAGCACTCACAAATTCTAAAGTTACCAAGCACATGACCACAGAGTACAACAGTGTACTTCAAATTCAAGTGAGCCTAGTTTCCTTCGAGGCACACTTTGGAACTTGTTACCCGCGCACACTCTCGCACGAGACACAAACTAACACGAGGTTACCATCGGCGAAAGGCCCACCCCACCGCCTGCAAACGTGCACCCGAGTCAAGCAAGCCTGTCCCCGCTCCTTTCACAGAACCCAAAGGGGATAGGACATTGACTCACCGGCCTATGACCCGCTTTCACTGACTTAAAACGAGCACGTCCACTTCTTACTCTCGCGCTAAATCTAGCGGCCGACCTCGCGGTGAGGATCGGAACGTCCTGAAACCAGCCCTGAAACTGAACCGGTTCTGGCGATGCAGAGCTTGTCCAGCAGGTCATTTCCGCCCGTGAGTCCTCCCGGCGCCGTCTGTTACCAGCCCAACTACGTCCAGCTGTGCTGCCCGGGTCACTGAGGCGAGAGGCAGAGGCTGGAGAACGGAGGAGGGGTTCCTTTCTGAAACCAGTGACAGGGAGACTGCGAGCACCATCAACTGTCAAGAAATTTAAATTCTTTAATCATTTATTTTAAATAAATGGAGTAATAAACCATGTTCAGGGGCCAGCCTTAATTATTTCTAAATTGATTTATAGATTTAATACAATCCAGAACAAAACCTCCACGGGGTGTGTTGTTTGACAAGCTGATATTAAAATTTGTACAAATGTGAAAAAAAGTCCAAAAATATATGGAACCACTGTTCAGCCATTACTAATCATAGAAACAGAAAATTAAACCAAGATTAGACACTATGACATATCCACCACATTGATAACATTTCAAACTCTGACAGCATCAAGTTTTAGTGAGGATGTTGAGCAAAGGAACTCTCACACACCATTGATGGGAATGTTAACTAACTAGCACACCACTTTGGAAATTTTACACTTAGCTGGTGGTTATGTTTCGTGACTTTTTTCATAAGTATGTCTAAACGTCAAAAAAAAATGAAGGAAAGGAGGAAGGAAATAATCTATTAATATATATTTCAAAAGATAAACAACAGAAGAGATTTGTTAAAATAAACTCTACTTGGAGGGAAAAATAGAGCAGAAAGTAGAATTTGTCTTTGCTATAAACAGAATGTCAAAATCTGAGCAGTAAAAAAAAATCCTAAAACACTCAAAATCTCACATTACATTACATATTTGGAATGTAAGGTTATACCCAAACCAATAGAAATACTGTTACCCATTTTTAAATAAGCAAAATCTACATCAGTTGTAGCACACACTCTGCTACAGAGCACAGGATTGGAAAGCTCGAGGGCAAGGAAAAATCATTCCAGAGGGTATCTCAAGCCAGTTAGTGGGTATTGTTCTTAGCTTCTGGGTAAGTACTCTCAGAGAAAGTCTTGCAGGTGCTACAAAAACCCAAGTGCACATTATTTTGCAAAAGGGCAAAGCAAAGCAAGAGAATTAAAGAGCACTTCCCTAAAGGTCAGAACAAAGTGAGATTTCACTTCTTACTTTCTACAGAAATGAATGACTATTGTGAGAACACTAGCAACGGCTTCAAGGATGCTCCCTAACTGATTGAAGTGCCAGAAAAGAAACATTAGGTACAGTATACAAAAAACAGTATTTATTTACATCTCATTTACTTTGAAAAGAATGGAGAAGCTGTGAGAAAAACATGTGTAAAAAGGAAAGTCTCATTTTACTTAACCCATTTGTTAGAAAAATGACAAAGTATTGACCTAGAATCATGGATCTAAGGGGACTCAAAGAATTTACACAGATTAACCTTGTATCTTTAAATAAAACTGAAATTATACCATTGCAGGCAGATGAAAATCTACTCCTCTCACAGATGAATGCCAACTAATTATACGAGGCAACTTCAAAACTTCACGACAAAACAGAAATAAAGAACAAGTATATTTTGGTGCAAAAAAAAATTTTGAACTATGTGCATAGCTTTTTTCATAATAGACATTTTCCATGAACTTTTTGAAGACCCCGTGTATATATTATTAAAAGAACCAGCCTTAATTAAATCTGTCACAGCATCCAATAAAACAGTGATAAAACACAGCTATCACAATAAATGACATTCAGAATTATTGTGCAACAATGAAAAATGGAATGTACACAGGAAAAATGACAATTGGCTATTAAGTCAATAGCGTCACAGTAACAGTAGTATCTTTCTCATTCAAGTATATACATTATCTTTAAGACTCGGTTATAGCAAAGACATCAGTAACTAAAATGTATACACAATTATTTTATAAACACCACAAAAATGACAAAAAAATCATAAAAATACCTCACCTTCAAATTCTGTAACAACTATAAACATGTTGATATTACTACTAGGTATTTGACTCAATTTTTAATTGATTTGTACACTATAAAAATAGCATCATTTTATAAGAATACTGATAATGGCTCAACATTTTTTAAAAACTCAGATAATCTTTATATTTCAGTAGTCTGTGTTTTATGCTTTTTTTTTTCCCCTTCTGCCACCATTGTCCTTCTGACTACCCAGTCACTAAAAACAATGGCGGTCTCTAACCACTGTTGCTATAGAAGTGTTACATTCGAAAACTTCTAGTTCTTTGAAATGGTTGGAAAGGCTTTTTCAGTGCCCACATCAGCAACTGCGGTTTCGGTTTGGGTTTTTCAGGAAACAGAAGTGCTTCACTTTCTGGTGTAGGAAATCGTTCTTGGTAAACTTCAGGATAGGATTTCTGAAACTGAAAAAAAAAAGATCCAAAAAGAGTCAAAAAAGACATAAGAGAATCAATAAAATTGGGCAGCCAAATTTAAAAATAAGAGTTTCTGATTCTATAATTTTCTGGGTTTTGTTTTGCTTATTTTTGTTGCTATTTGACTCAAATTTTTGTAGACCTAATTCATCCTTCCTTTGATCCAAATCTTCAAATACTGTTTTCTTTTAGTCATATTTCTTAAAATTTCCCTCACTGCCAACCACACAAAGAGACTTCAAGCTATAAATATTCACAAGTAGCCCTGACTTATGTTCTATACAGTTAAGAAACCATTTGGGCCCAATTTCATTTTACCTTTTTATTTATTTATTTTTTGGGGGGAGAGGTTTTCTTTCTTATTGGGTGCGTATTTTCGCCAGAAAGACAGAGAGATAGAAAGCGAGAAATCACCACCAGAGGGGATGGCCACGCTGCAATCCCTCTCCTTCATTCTCCTCTTGGGATCCTGGGCACGAACGCACACGCGCCCAGCGTGAGTTTAAGGCACTGGGTCCAGGACTCAAACTGCAGTCAACTACATGGGAGTCCAGCAACATAGCCATTATGCTAACTGCTAGCCCTCATTTTACCTTTTCTCTTCTTCTCCAACTCAGACCTATCAGCTTATGACCAAATGGAAGAGAAAATAATTGGGTATACAAACTTTATCAAAAGCTTAAAGAAAGGCACTATTTTTTTTTCTTTAGTCCTTACCACTGAAATCTTCTCCAAAATTACTAAGAAAAACATGATTTATGAGCCCAGAACTCCATTGCTCTGTGTATAATTCTATATATAAGGGGTAACCTGGAACCCATCGAAGCAGGATTCAAAGCCATTCATCTGATCAAGGATTAATCTTTAAGAATGATCAAAATAACTTATTTTTGTATTGATAAACAACTCTTAAGCTGTGTTGTCTAACCTAACAGGAACTAAAAACTTTTCAATGATGCCTGAGGCACAAAACCATTATCAATGGCTTTAAAGCTAGGCATTTTACACATTTATGAATTCAGTCTGATTTGCCTTTTAAAAGATAAAATCTGCTCTCATGACAACTTATCTGAATTTAAAGTAATTGTTCTGCTAATTCACATGATGGCACATATGGAATCAATAGCCAAATATTAGAGAATAACTTCATAAGAGTTGGATAATGGTTAAAGATCTACATTGGAGATTGAAAAAATTGACGAACTTTGTGAATCAATAAGATCTCTAGCTGAATAATATGCTTTCAAAAGTGCTATGGTTTCAGAAGATGATATCAATATGAAGCCTATTAAAATACAGGAAAAAAGAGGAACCAGCAGATGGCATAATGGTTATGTAGCTGGACTCCCACGTAGCTGACCACAGTTCCAGGCCTGGACTCAGTGGCTTAAAACACACCAGGTATGTGTGCATGCATGCCCAAATCCTGAGAGGAGAATGGAGGAGAGGGTATCGTGGTGTGGCCACACACATCCCTGGGGGTGATTTCTTGCTTTCTATCTTTCGGTCTCTCTGGCAAGTGCATGTGCCCTATAGCAAAAATCTCTCTCTCTAAAAAAAAAAAAGAAAAGAAAAAGAAAAAAATAAAGAACAACAAAAGAACAGTAGGGAAGAGAAAAATGAAGAATATCCTTCTAGGCAGCCTGCAAACCTGTGGGTTAAGGAGTCTGGATCCCATATGGCCTATTGCCTGGTTGAGTCCAGGGCCTGGCAACTCTGAAACCATGCCAGACATATTTGTGTGCCCAAAATCCAAAAGGGAGAAATAGAGAAGGGGCTGTGGCATGATCATCCCCATGGGGGAGGTGCTCTCTTACTTTACCTCTCTCTCTGGCCAGCACGTATGCTCTCTAATCATGATTATCTTCTTACCTGCTTCAATTTCTTCTTCTTCTCTTTGCTGGAGAGTTTGGCATCTGTTATAACTTCCTCCAGCAAGGCTGCCAGGGGTTCCTGGGAGCCAAATGCTCTTTGGTACTCAAATTCCTCGGGACTAATTTGACGACAAAACGATGGAGCAGATAGAGTGATATCCATGTCAGCTCCTGGGTATTTGATCTGAGACAAAAGATTAGCAGAGAAAGGAAAGCATGTATTTTCAAATAAATAACAAACATTAGTTGAGATCAAATATGGTATTTCTCCTAATGGGAATGCCATATTATTCTTCAATTTGATTAGGGGAAATTCTATATTAAGAAGTAAACATGTTGCTATAACTTTAGAATAATATCAAAGCCATAGTTTTAAACAAAAGATTAGAAAAATAAAAGATTTTTGCATTTTAAAACAAAGATCCATTTTAATTTTAAAAATCTTGTGCCTTTGAATAAGATTGAATATTCAAACATAAATTAAAACATATTGACTAAAATGATTCAAAACGGTTGCAACGTTAAGCATACATCGTGAGCCACTCAGCTCCTTCCCACATCGGGAAAACAACATAGGTGCAGACACGGCATAAGAGAAAAGGAAGAAGGGAGAAATATGAAAAAGTCAACCACAACCTGTGAACACTTGAACAACCCATTAAAAACTATCGATTTCAGAGTCCAGAGTTTTTTCAAAAATATAGCACTCAACTATTCTTCTGCATTAGATAAAATTCCCAATATTCCATTATATTCCCATGTATATCCTCTGATTTTTGTTTCCAGAAGCCATGACTGAAAATAAATACGTTGCCAAGGAGTAGGACACTCCGCATATTCCAAGCCTCAGTATCAGTGTATCAGATCAGCTGAAGAGACAGACCAGAACATAAGGGAAAGGGACCTACTACACAGAACACTTCCTTTTACATTTGAAGTATGAAGGGCAAAACCAGAAAGGGGCCAGAACAAAGCCCAATCCAGCCATGGAGCAACAGCTGGAAGCCTAGGGCTTGAACACAGCATTAGATACCCATAACCGCAGGGTGCAGACAAAGGCCAATAGCAGGCTGCTGCCGAAAACATCGCCTTCCTCGCAATTTATCCCCAGGTCAGCCCTGAAACTGCCTCCAAGCAATTCACTGGAATAATTCAAGCAACGCTGCACAATTTCAGAGAAGCACTGCCCTATATGTGATATGGCAGAGGGGCTTAGTGACCTGTGCAAGAGAACAGAGATCTACAGGCTCTGAGTGCCAAAGGAACACTTTGTTCAGCAGTTCTGAGTACTTCCAAGAGAGAAAATGCAGCAGGACTACTGAGTGGTTACTGACTTACCTGCAGTGCACATCATGGTGCCTTTCACAAGTCATGTTGATCTGCATTTAAATTAATCATCACAGCACAGACTTCAGGTCTTCAGGTGGCAGCAAGGGGCTCACAGGGCCAGGCTGCTGCTACCTTTGCCTGTGCTATGCGTGTGATACACAAACCCATAAGGTATGCAGCACAACCCAGTGATTGCTACAGGCTATTCATCCCTAATCCACAAATCGGAATCCAGCATGCTCCAAAACCCCAATTTTTTAAGCAACAAGATTCCACACCTGACCTCAATGTACACAAACTTTATTCCATGCACATAATTAAAAATAATGTATAAAATTATCTTCAATCTATATGTATAACAAAGTATATATGAAACATAAATGAGTTTCATATTTCAACTTGGGTTTCATCCCCAAGATATCTCATTATGTATATGCAAATATTCCAAAGTCCAAAAATAATTTGAAATCTGAAATACTTCTGGTCCCAAGAATTTTGGATAGGGAATACTCAACTTGTTTAACATTTCTTTGCAAAAATTCAATAAGTATTTTTCATTTTTACTTTTTTTAAGTCTGGCTCGTAAAAATATTGAGAAAAAGATTAAACTGAAATAACAATAACATTATAGCTTTCACTAATGAAAATGGCAAAGATATATATGTATGTTAATGATAATATTCGATAAGTCATAAAGGTGAAAATAAATGAATACACACTTTCTTAGACCACTGACAGAAATGTAAATTGAAACATCATTCTAAAGAGAAATTTGGCCATCTGCTAATCAATACTTAAAATATTAATAAGTTTATGGCCTGTGACTAAGCACGCTACTCGTAGGAATTTTTTCTTACAGAATAAAAATCATAATCTCCCCCCCAAAAAATCTAACTATAATAATATTTACTACTATATTATTTACAAAATGGGGGCAAAATGGAAACAATCTATTTATCAAGAATATCATTTAAATAAATTATAATGTATCCATATTGTGGAATACTATGTTGCCAGGAATAATTATAGGATAGCAGGTTAATATGACAACAATGTAAGCTACTAATCGTAGGCTAACTATGTGATAAACACTGTTGTAAGCACTTTAAAATAACTTCAATCCCTAAAACATCTTTATAAGTTAGTACTCATTATTATTCCTATTTTACAGACAAGGAAAGAAAGATACTGGGACTGATACTGACACAGAGATACCACATAATTTGCTTAAGGTCACACAGCTAATAAAGGGCATGTCATGAATTCAAACACCACTTAGCTCCAGAGACTATTTCTGGATACTATGGTGTCAATCAAGAACATTTAATAATATAGATTTCATAATATAGGGAATTGTTCTCCTACTGTGAAACAAAGCGAAATAAATTATTTTTTAAAAAAAGGAATATGGGAGGGAGGGAGGAAGGAAGGACAGAGGAAGTGAAGGAGGAGAAAGAATAAAAAAGGAAGGGAGAGAAAAAAGGAGGGAGGGAAGAAAGGAGGGAAAGGGATGGGAAGGAGCAGAAGGGAAGAAAAAAGAAAGAAGACAGAAAGATACAACACACACACACACACACACACACACACACCTGAAAGACTATTAATACTATGAACACTTTTTTTAGAGATTTTTGCTATAGGGTACATGTGCTTGCCAGAGAGACAGAGAGTGAGCGAAAAAAAGCGAGAAATCATCCCCCACGGGGATGGCCATGCCACAATCCCTTCTCCATTCTCTCTTAGGATTTTGAGCACATGCTCACTTGCATGAGTTTCAAGCCACTGGGTATGGGATTTGAACCATGGTCAGCCATGTGGGAGTCCAGCAACATAATCACTACACCATCTGCTGGTCCCAATACTATGAACATTTTAATGTAACTATGTACTTTTCAGTGTGTATTTTTTTTTGGGGGGGGGGGAGAGGTTTTCGCTATAGGACACGTGCTCTCACCAGACAGACAGAGAGAGACACAGAGACAGAAAGCAAGAAATCGCCCCGCAGGGGGGATGGTCACACCGCAATCCCTTCTCCTCCATTCTCCTCTCAGAATCTTGGGCACGCACGCACATGCGCCCGGCGTGAATTCTAAGCCACCAGGTCCGGGACGCAAACTGGTCGACTACATGGGAGTCCAGCTACATAGCCATTATGCTAACTGCTGGTTCCTTTTTTGGTGTGTATTTTTTATATTTCCTAAATCTCTACAAGGTATTTGGTTTACAAATGCAGAAAAACGATTGGGTTGTTGGAAAAGTCATGATGCATTTTTGCATTAAAAAAACGGAAAAATATATCATGACTTTTCTTTTTTTTTTGGAGAGGTTTTTGCTATAGGGCGCGTGCGCTCGCCAGACAGAGAGAGACAGAGAGACAGAAAGCGAGAAAGCGAGAAACCCCCCCCCCAGAGGGGATGGTCACGCGGCAATCCCTTCTCCATTCTCCTCTCAGGATCTTGGGCATGCTCGCACATGCGCCCGGCATGAGTTTTAAGCCACCGGGTCTGGGACACGAACCGCGGTCGACTACGTGGGAGTACAGCAACATAGCCATTATGCTAACTGCTGGTCCCATATCATGACTTTTCTGATGACTCAATAGAAAAACATTGTTTACTTTAATTTTTAAATTGCACACTGGAAACAACTGAATAGTTAATTATTTTCAAAATACCTTAAGATGCAGCAGTTCACTGATCCTTAATGTAGAGCCTCAAAATGTATTTAAGAAAAAGAGGTTTGATTAGTCAGAGGAGCCAGGCAGAACTTCTGCCTGTCTTTACCAAAACTTTCTGCTCCCACAGGCTAGCATACAAACCCCACCTCAAGGCCCACGTAATACCAGTATATTACATGTCTTTTGCATCACTGTACTGTAACCAGAACAACACTAACAATAGCTACCTTTTAAAGGGTACCTGCTATAGGATAAAAATTCACATCAGGGCTTTACAGTATAGCATTTGAATCTCCACAATGCTTTGTATAGAGTAACAATGGTCCATTTTAACACTTGAGGAATGGAAACAAAAAAGTTAAAGGACTTGCCCAGAAACACACAATGAAGAAGAGTAGAGCCCGGAGTTTGGCCAGTGTTTGATGGCTCTAATGCCAGTGTTTTATCACACACCTTTTCTAGCAGGAAGTATGGTACGATGGTTTGGAGCACTGACTATGGTGGCTGATTACAGTGGTTTGAATCCTGCCTGGCTCTGTAACCCTGAAAAGGTTACTTAAATTCTCCATGACTCAGCTTCCTCATGCAAAAGTGGGAATATTAAAAGCATCTAGGTCACAGAGATGCTGTGAATCAAGACACTTATCACATATAAATCATTTCTGACAGTAAGAACACGGAGATTCTGAACAAACTCATTCAAGGAATTTGTAATCGAAACTATGCAGCATTGGGCCAACCAAGGCAGCGTGCACCAGACACTGCTGCTCAGCAGGCTAGGTACGCACGGGAGGCCCAGTGTGATCCCAGCATCCTAAACACCGGATGTGGTGTGATGCCTGTAAGGTCAGCTACTTGGGAAACTGGCCCAGGATGATTACAACACAGGGAGACTGTCTAAAACACCGCACACATGCATGACAAAAAATAGGAAGCACTAATTGATATGACAAAACCAAGTGTACATTCCAGAAATGTCCAATGACAATGGCAAGCACCTATCATGCTTACTATGTGCCAACACCTGTTTAAAACAATTTTTACATAGTAATTTGCTTAATCCTCATAACAAAATGTCCCAGAAGCCAGCACACTTACGTGATTTTCAGTTGCAGATTTTATAGAACAATAATGTTCATTCTTTACCTGAACTCTTCGTAGATGAGCTACACGCTCCTCTATAGAGGTCTGCAGGGCCAAAGGGACTTTCAGAATCTCCTGGTAATTGTCCATCAGAAATGTCACCAAGCGAGCAGCCAATAACTCATCCAAGTCCACTTCATCTTTGGAACACAAGATGCAACGGGAAAATGTCTGAACCATCTAAAAAAAGAAGGTGGGGGAGGATATAAACAGAGATGAGTTTTTCCCTACTCTGAATGAGCGCAATCCAGTTTGCAAAAAGCAAATGTGAACAGTTGGTGAGAAACAGCCCAAGGTGCAGTGTGGACATGTTACCAGGCACCTGGCCATCGCAAGTGGCTAATGGGCTCATTTGCCAGCATGAACAAAATGTGTATCTCCCCTTGAAGAGGCTTAGCAGACAGGCTGAGTAATTTTTTAAATCTTTATATATAAAAATGTATATAAACTTATAGATATAAACAAATTTCTGAAAATTATCATCACCGTGACTTGGCCGATGTAAAAAAGTTAAAAGTTACAAAGGTTTTTTTTTTTTAATAGCCAATAAGTTCAAAGTTTTTTTTAAATAGCCAGTTAGTCAAATATACTAATTTCATTATTAGTATTTGTTGTTGTTAAATTTGCTGACACAGTTGGTATATTTAGATCATTTCATCTTTTCCTAGTTAACTTATTTTCTCTGGGATTTTGGATATACATTTAACAACTCCTTTGAGCAAAGAAGGGACTTTATAGGCCAGCTGGCCTGGTGCTTAAGGTGCTGGATCCCATATGACTGACTGCACAGTTCAAGCCCCAGATCCGGAGGCCTGTGAAATATCCCGGGTACATGTGTGTGTCCAAAATCCTGAAAGGAGGGAGGAGAAAAGGCTGTGGCATGCCCTTGCTCCATGGACGATGCTTCCTTGTCCCCCCTACTTTTCCGATGCCCACACACACCCTCTGGCAAATTGAAAAAAAATAAGAGAGATTTAAGATGGGACTTTATAAGAAGTACATTAAGTAATAAGACTCTTCATGATAAGCAGAAATAAAAAAAATATGTAATGTAATGTAATATAAATCTCCTTAGATTAATAAGTAATTACTCAACTTTTTTTTTTTTTTTCCTGCCAGACGGTTTGTGTGTTCTTGGAGAGAATGGGAGGGAGAAAGCCCTTGCCAACAGGGAGAGTCATACCACTATCCTCTCCTCCATTTCTCCACTCTATTGGGATTGGGGGCACGCACACACATGTGTGTTTTCAAGCTGCTGAGGCTGAGATTCCCACCAGGTAGTCAGTCATGTGAGATCCAATTCCTTCAACTTCCAGGCCATGGGACCTGCCCAATTACTCCATTCTTAATATTATTCTCCCTCCCTTCCTGTTCATTTTATTGCTAACAATCTTACTTCAAACCTTGTAAGCATGAAATGATGTAATTCTGCTCACTACATTTCAACAACACACTGCAAATCTCTGCTCACATTTACGTAGGCAAAGAGATACATGAGCAGACGTTATTTTGCCTGGAGACCACGGACTCCAGGGAATCTGTGACTGCCTTTACCTTGTATGCAAAATCCTGCATATACATTCTTATGAGCAATGTATGTAAATTTTTCTTCAGCTTTTCTAAAAGTCCATCAACCATGAACCCTTCTACCATCTGTCCACTCTAAAAAGAGGTCAGGGATCACTATGTGGGCACTGAGTTTCACTCCAATCTCCCTCCATACTTCCAACTGGGCCTGTGGGTCCTCAGGGAGCACAGTGGTTTACCGGTATATGGCAAGGACACGTATTCCCCTGAAACACCAATTTTGCTCCAAGCCTTTTTTTTTAAGAATATAAAGAGATTTTGCTAGTAGGTAAATTCTAAACAGAAACTTTCTTTAAAAACACATACTAAAGCCAGCACACGGCATAGTGATTAAGGTGGCTGGCTCCCAAGAGACTATCCTCATGGTTCAAGTCCCTGACCCACTGACTTGAAAAACACACATCAGGCACAAATGCATGCATGCCCAAAATCCCAAAACGGAGAAATGGAGGAAAAGAAAGGGTGGTGTACCCATGCTCCATGGGGGACACGTTCTTGTTCTCTCCTCCACCTCCCTCCCCCCCCCCCCAGTGGGCACACACACTCTCTGGGCAAAAGTTTTAAAAAACAAAAAGATAAATAAAAAATTTCGGACCGATAGAAGCAGAATAGAACAGGTGGGGAACTGGGGAAGGATGTGGAAAGGAGAAATGCTGGTTAAAGGGTTCAGAGTTGTGGTGAGACAGGAGGAACAAGGTTTAGAGATCTATGGTTCACAAAAGTACTGCACATCCCCAAGGGCCAAAAGAACAGATTTTAAACATTCATACCACTGAGCAACAATAAGCTGTCGAGGTGATGAACGCTAATTAGCTTGACTGACTCTCTCTCTAATGTACATATAGTTCAAAATATCAAATTGTAATATACACAATAGTTACTAAAAATAAATTTAAAATATTTTCCAAAAAGTGTTAAAGCAAGTGTACACTTGGAGTCTGCCCTACTTGCTCTTTGCTTTTCATTTTGTTGTTTAAGAAACTGAAACCAGGGCCAGCAGGTGGCACGGTGGATAAGGGCACTGGATTCCCACATGGCCAGCCATGGTTAGAGTGTGTGCGTTCATGCCCAGGATCCCAGGAGGAGAATGGAGGAGAAGGGATTACAGCGTGGCCATCCCCCCAGGGAGTGATTTCTTGCTTTCTGTCTCTTTCTGGCAAGCACACACACCCTATAGTAAAAACCTCTCAAAAAAAAAAAAAAGTAAAAACCAACCTACCAGTGTTCGGGTGCCGAAGCCATCGCACAGTGGTGGCATCTCTTTGTTCAAGCAGATTCTTGCCATCATCCTCATCAACAGCTGTAACTTTCTCCTGTTTTCAGGAGGCAGGAGGAGGCAGCAAATCTGAAATGCTTCAATTGCCATTTTCTCTTTCTGTAACAAGCCTGATTTAGAAAAAAGCCTTTTAAAACCTGTAGCCTGCTTGACTTTATGTTCACATTTACAAAATACATACTACTAAAATTACGTAAAATATTTGTACAAGTTCACCTACACTGGGCCAATTCAATAGAGACTCACTGTCACTCATACAGAATAGAAAATACTGGGTCACCAAAAAAGTCATGACACATTCTTGTGTAGAAAAATATGTCATGACTTTTCCAATGACGTGATGTAAGCCATCAACCAGGGATAACAAATATATAGAACCACATACAGCCATTTCCTATCTACACACTATAGAGAACTAAATTTTCATAGCATTCTTTCCCACTGGCCAGAGCAGTCAGGCTCACACTAATTTAACCCTCAACACTCACACAGTTATAGGTTCAAACTGGCATGAGCAAGATGAGTCACTATCCTGACTTCCTCTAGGTCTTATTTGATCAGCAGGGTCATCGTCCTGCAGGATGGTCACAGACTAGTGCTGCCATCGTCAGCCTTCGGGTGAATGGCTCTAACCCCTCTATTTAGGTTATGTTAGGTGTCATATGCCCTCCTTCCTCACCTCGGGTTGATTTTGCTAAAAAGTAGAGTATTCTAATAAGGTGTTCTTTTCCACCATATTCAACCCTGGACACGTTTCATACCCCAGCCCTCTGAGGAGGTGAAACTGCGTCCACCAATTTGCTTATTCTACATCCAGGCTCTTCGAGTTCCCTTTAGTCTTTAACTTGTAGACAAAAACCATCTTTTACATTAACAACATGCCATCTACAACATGCCAAAAACTGTACTGAGTCCGAGAAATACAAAGGTAAGCCAGGCCCTCACCTTTGAAAAGCTTCTGTACTGTGAGAAGGAGGACCCCATAAACAAATAATTGACAAAATATGAGAAATAATGCAAGGCACATATTAGAGAATTGTCAGTCACCCAATATGCCTGCAGGATAAGCTATGAGGGCAAGGGCTAACTTTGAAGCTAGAAAGGTCAGCAGAGATGAGGTCCTCATTGGCCTTGAAGAGGGACTGAGGCCTTAGGAGGCCAGACTAGGCGGCTTGAGGTTGAACCCAAAGGCAATAGATGGTGCGTGGGAAGGAAAAGGAGGTAGGGGAAAACTTTTATACACCGAGTTCTAATCCTAGATATACTGAGGAATTGCTGCTGCTGACTGGCATCAGTGTCATCTTTGCAGACCTGCCTTCAATTGTACGTAATCGCATCCATGGAAAGGAAGAGGGTTTGTGACCGTACTTCCACACTTTAATTCATTCTTTTAAAAAATTACTGCTATAGGCTGTGTGTACTGACCAAAGAGACAAAGAGAAAGAGAGTGAGAAAACGCCCCCCAGGTGGGGTGCTGATGGCAGTGCCACAATCCCTCTTCCTTTTTCTCCCCTCAGCATTCTGGGCACACATGTGCACACTCCTGGCCTGTTTTCCAGCCGCCAGGTCCATGATTTGAACTGTGCAGTCAGCCATGTGGGATCCAGCCGCCTAAACCACCATGCCACCAGCTGGCCCCCAATTCATTCTTTCATGTATCCAACAAATACTTATTAAACCCTGTCCATATTTCAGGAGCTATTTTAAGAGTGAACATACAGTAAAGAATAAAACTCCTGTCTAATCCCACGGAGCTTACTTTCCAGTAGGTAATAAACACAGAGATACAGAACTATAATGTTAAATGGAAAGATATTACGGAGGGAAAAGAAGCAGGAAAGGAGTTCAGGGGTGAGAGATGTCCTTGTAAAAACACTTCCAGCATTGCAGAAAAAAACCTCTCTCCAAAAAATAGTATTTGAACTGAGATCTAAAGGAGATAAGAGAAAGCCAGGGAAATAGAGGAGAGACAAACTTTCAAGGTGGAGAAAGAGCATTTACAAAGATTTTGACATGAAAGTATGCTTGGAGTGTTTGATGAACAGCAATAATGCCAGTGTGAAGAGAGAAGAGTGTACAAGAAAAAGACAAGTCAGAAACGAGGTTAGAGAGGGAGCCGGGAGCCGGAGCATGCAGAACCTTGTTAGCTATTGCGAAGGCCTTCGAGTTTTAGTACTACTGTGACCTGAAAAGTCACCACAAGGTTCTGAACAGGGAGCCACTTGATCTGAATTTATTTTTACTCTGGCCACCATAAAGCAAATAGATTATAAGGGAAAAGAGAGGATGGAAGGCAAGATGGTGGTCTGGACGAGGCTACGATAGTTGGAACTGGTAATAACTAGCTAAATTCTAGTTCTGTTTCTCCACAAAGCCTTCTATCGTGCAAGTCCATACAGCCCTTCTTTTTCCAAATTATCACACCTTTGGAGGGACTCACATTTCACCTTATCTTACTACATTTCATGTATGTACATTGCTGTGTGAATGAGACTACAAGCTAGTCGAAAGCATAATGCATTTTTTTTGGCAAGTAAAATTTCCTAGAATGCAAGACATATAAATAAACATTCTGATTTCTCGTCTTCAACAGAATCTTACACAGGGCTATCTATACAAAGTGGTCATTTCTGAAGTTATAAAAATAGTATCTAGCTGCTGTATAATATTTAAGAAAAATATTGCAATGATAAATTATAAGGATACTGACTACAAAAGCTTTATAAAAATTTGAAAGAGAACATGTAAAAAAATTAGTATTGCATCAAGTTTGTAAAATAATCAGCCACTTTTTTATTTATAAGTTAGAATACTACTAAGCAAATATGTAAAAATCTCATCTAGCATATTTTATTACCACATTCTAAACTTTCAGTTACTGGCATGGAAAAAGCCAAATTTGTAGTAAACCAAGTTTTCAGACTTTATAAAAATTAAATGAAGGGGCCAGCAGGTGGAGTGGTAGTTAAGGTGCTAGGCTTCCATATGGCCAACTGCAGTTTAAGTCTCAGACTTCGCAGCTTACTTTTTTGCTCTCTCTTTCTCTTTCTCTTTCTCTTTCTCTTTCTCTCTCTCTGGTGGGTATATGTGCCCTGTAGCAAATAAAAAATAGTAATAGTGGGACCAACAGTTGGAGTAATGGCTATGTCACTGGACTCCCATGTAGTCAACCATGGTTCAAGTCCTGGACCCAGTGGCTTAAACTCATGCCAGGCGTGTGTGCATGCGTACCCAAGATCCCAAGAGGATAATAATATTATTCTATAATAATAATAGTAATATTCTATAATATTTCAAATATTACAGCAATAATAGAATATTATTCAAATTTCATTAACACTAGAAGAATACAAATCGAAGAAATCCAATAAATCATAGCATAATAAACACAAAGCAACCCACTAAGAGTACACTATTATAATCAAATTCCTAGAAATCAGTGACAGAGAAAAATTACAAATACAGTCAGAGACTAAAAGACATATGTGGGGTCAGCAGGTGGTGTGGAAGTTAAGGCACTGGATCTCATATGGCCAAGTGTACAGTCTGAGTCCCAGACCTGGTAGCTTGAAAACATACTGGGCACGTGTACATCTGTACTCAAAATTCCAAGAGAATGGAGGAGACAGGATTTCAGCATGGCCATCCCTCCTGGGGCGGGGGGATGATCTCTCACTTTCTGTCTATCTCTCTCCAGTAAGCACACAGACATTATGGCAAAAACCTAAAACAATAAAATTAAATACAGCAATGTAAAAGAAAATGATAGAGATTTGTTCAAGAGGCTATCAGGGAAGCACAGAGAAGTCACAGCTAGTGACTGATAGTGATCTGCTCTAGGAAGGTTAAAATGTAAGATCTGTAAGAGGAACTTGCTTTCCTCTGAAAGCATATCTGCATATTACATCTTAATACGATGTCATACTCACACAGAAGTCATTCAACAACTACTTCCTCAAAACAAGATGGGGACCAGCAGTTAGCATAATGGTTATGTCGCTGGACTCCCATGTAGTCGACTGTGGTTCGTGTCCCGGACCCGGTGGCTTAAAACTCACGCTGGGCGCGTGTGCATGCGTGCCCAAGATCCCGAGAGGAGAATGGAGGAGAAGGGATTGCGGCATGACCATCCCCCGTGGGGGGTGATTTCTCGCTTTCTGTCTCTCTTTCTCTCTCTGTCTGTCTGGCAAGCTCATGCGCCCTATAGCAAAAACCGCTCCAAAAAAAGAAAAAGAAAAAAAAAAAAAAAAACAAGATGAACTAAGACAGTCCATGAAAAAGGACTGTTGTGTATTTATGTATACGGTACAAATGTAAGATTACCGATTTTCCATTCACTGGAGTTATGAATTTTTTTTAATTGCCAGAGGATGGCATGTACTCACTAGAGAGAGAGGGTAAGAGAGAGAATTCCCCAGTGAGGCATGGTCACATGGTAATCCTTTTTCTTCCAATCCTCCATCCTGTAAGGATTTGGGGCATAAGACCACATGCATGTGATCCATGTCACACGTTTTTCAAGCCACCAGAGCCTGATTCAAAACGTGGCTGGCCATGTGGGATCTGGCTCCATTCAAAGCTAAGCTACTAAGCCCAATCTCTATGAGGTTTTAAGTATCCCTGTATGGCCAGCAGAGATTACTTATTGATGATTTTAATCTACTGAATTCTTTGTACCAGTGATACCTACTCACAAACTGCAGCTATGATGCATTTTCAGTTTTTAGGGAGCTATTCTCTGCTATACCTCTGTGATCCAGGAGATTAGGAAGATTTACATTTTTATAAACTTTTCTTTCCTTTCTTTTTAACTCATGTGAAGGGGCAACAGAAGTCTGAGCTCTGTTTTTTTTGTTTTTTGGGTTTTTTTTTTTTTCATTCTATCAGGACAAGGTATTGCTTCTGAGCACTGAGCACTGCTCCAAAAGCAGCAGTCTGTACTTCAGTCTCCCTATCTGAGTCTTGATTTCATCATTCAGACTTTAGAATGGATATACTCCTAGACAGTGAATAAATGGCTCACTTTTTAATAACTTAATTTTTATATTATTGGGTCATTGGAAACATCATGATGCATTTTTGTATAGAAAAATCAGGACCAGCAGGTGGC